ATATTATAGCAATATAAATATATTTATTTATTTATGGCATTTATTTATATAATAAAAAATTAATTTAATACTGTATTAGTCAAATATATATTTATTATGTTAATAATCGGAAATTTATATCAATTATCGATAATGTCAGCGTTCTTCAATTATCTTCGGGCCCTTGAAGCCTTTTTTGTAAGGAAGAAAATTTGTTCAGACGGTCTTTAATATGTAGTATCTTGTCGGTGCTCTTGCGTATCGATCAATGCACACCCGCGAAATGCGCGCGACCGTGAGGTATCCAGGCAGCCGTAGCTATTCTACTTCCGATGACCTCTGTGACGCGGTTTGATGAACTCGCACTATAAATGACCAATATTGTTTGTAAGACTATGATGTTTGTCCATTACACATTGTCAGTTGTTATCCAGTTGCCCAATAGATCCATAACGCTGAGTATTAACGATTAATAAATAATAGATTTCATTTTGAAATATGTATGTATAGATTTATTTTACAAATCGATAAAAAAAATAAAATTGTTCTATTAAAGAAAATAAATAATAAAATAAAGAATGCACGGAAAAAATTTATATGTTAATATTATAATTCTTACTGATTAATTTCGTTATTAATATAAAAAAAATATCAAGGCATGCAATAACCACGCGCGATCTATGGTTCTTTTTTATTTATTTTATTTCAAGTAATTTGATAACGCAGTCAATGGCGTGATCTATTTTGAGCAAAAGTGAATGTTGTTTGCCTATTAAGTGATCGCAGAATAACATCAACCCGCATGGCTCACGCATGATATTATTTATCACCGTGGAAATTTTTGGAATAGCGGAGTGTGTCATCAGGGAAGATTTGCTGAGCAAAAACGAGTCGACTGTGATTCTTCGAACAAACCCTAATAGACGTATAAATTCTAACTTCGTTTCTTTCGAAATCTTCGCTTACAATTAGATAGATTTCTAAGCGAAATAAAAAGTAATTACATTACCTCGATACGTCGAAATGATGGAAAATGTATCTCTACATTACATCTCTGTATATCATTTGATCGACAAACAGAAAAAGATTATCATTTGTGATCTCCGACCAGCGAATTGATCAAGTCACACTTTTTTAACTTAATTATCTATAGAGATAATTTTTAATTATCCAGACTTTTGATTTTATTCAAATTCATTCGCATTTTATTCAATATCTTTTTTGATAATTTGATTCTTTTTTGATGCACTTATGAAATAAGAGTTTTCTGAATTTCCTAATTTTACAAAATTTTGTTTATAAAAAAAATCTAATGCATGCGTCCTTGTTTGACGATTGCCCAGCATGCGATTGTCAGAACTATTATCGTTACAATAATCATTCTATTACATTATATCGTTATATTTTAAATATTATTTTCTTGCTCAACCTCATTTTTCCACATGGCTATGCCATTTCCATTAATATAATATATTGAACATGCATTATGAAGATCCCTAGTATAATACATAACATCTTACGAGTAAAATCTCTTTTTTGGAACTAATATAATATCTATTTTAATTATTTATTGCAGGGTTGGCAACGTTATCTCATAAAAAAATAAATCGTTACCATTACCGTTCTTTTTTCTAAAAAAATAAATCGTTACTCGAAATATAACGAATCGTTACTTTTTCGTTACTTTTTTTTCTTGACACTAATAGAATATTATATGCAGATTTTTGCGGTAAATGTAAAAAAAATGTCAAAATTCTATTTTTTAGTAGAGGAAAAAAGCTAAAAAAAAATGTGCCTAAAATATGCCTATAATAAACATAGTGCGTTATTTTCATGAATGAAATAGATAATGTCATATCATATAATATATACTACATTTTTTTGTAATTTTTATACTTAAATAAATTTATTTTTCGTAATACTTTTAATAAGATATCTTTAAATTATATGTTTAACTCTTAATACATATACTTTTCTTTTACTGTATATAATAGGTCGTTTATGTGTGAATTAATTTCTATAATTTTTGCAAATATATAAAAATTATAAATAGATTCCTATTGTATATTTTAACATCTTTAAAAAACATTTATGAAATTGTATATTTAAAAAGAAAGAATTAAGGATAGAAAGAATTATTTAGCCAGGTGCAGTATTTTGAAGAAAAGACACAAGATACGAATGACTTAACGTCAATACTCTAAGGGTAAAATAATATTATAATAAAAAAATAGTATTGTTCGTAATCTGCATTATATACATATATTTAATTTGTGAGATATGACACAAAAACAATTTTATTTTAAGAAATTAAATATACTGTAAAGATTGTATCATATAATCTTTTTTCCTCAAGGATATTTTTTTATTGGCGTAAAATCTCACGTGGTGTCATCACCACATGCTATACATAGAGAGTTAGTCTATATATGTGAACTGTGAATACAATGAAAAAAAGGCGTCGTGATCGCATGATTTAAACAGCCAATCAGACTATTAATTATTATATTAATGTTTTATCTCTGTTTTCTAGGGCTATAATTACGACTAAACTTTTACGTAGTTAGAAATAAAGTAACGATAAAAGTAGTGAAATCATTACCGTTACCCCAAAAATGTTATTGCGTTACTCAGAAAAACATGTAATGTCGTTATCCATTCCTTACCGAAAAAAGTAACTTGTAACAGTCACGACGTTACAAATAACGCGTTACTTGCCAACCCTGATTTATTATTAATGCTGTATAGATGCTGGCGAGTTGTTTTGTACCTTCATGAATTTGTTATATCAAATATTAATGAAAAATTCAATAATTAACTGACAAGAATCATAAATTTGTTTCTTTTGATCTAATCAATCATTAGCAAAAATTAATCGTATTGTTTAACTCTTAATTCTATAGAATATACGCTATATGTATATGTATGTACGTGTATGAGATATTGAACAGTATAATTGATTAACGCAGTTTTTGCAATATGTATTAAACATTCAAATGATTTCGAAGTATTAAGCTATTTTTATTCTGTTCTAATAAAGACACCTTAATAATCTTTCGTGCTTCTTCGATACACAACGAGTCATTGTTCTGGCACATTTTGCAGATATCAGTGAAAGAGAAGATACTCGATTGTTTTGTTTTTCTTTAAAAACTCAAAGCATTGATTTAATCAAGTGCCATTCTGTACTCATGTGCATCATTGATATATCGAATTGTTCTGACTTTATTGGTGCGATCAAACGTAGCCGAATAAATTGACCGATCAGTGTCAATGTATAAATTCTAAAGCTTGATCTACATAGCACGCAAAACACCGTTGCAGGTTGCAAGCTTGTTGCTTTTGACTGCCGAAACAAACTTGCAACCTATGACCTGCGTTCTGCGTGCTATGTAGATCGAACTTCATGAAATATAAAATAATATTTATACAGTTAGAAAATATCGCATTATTTTCAGTGGACTAATAACATAATATTCTTTTTCTAAGGAATTGTGGTACATTATGAAGAGATCATTTTAACGAGTCTTTACATTAATTTTTTAGTCTAGTCTAGGCTGCTCGCTTATACTAAATGCATCATGCTATGTTTGTACGGTCGAAAATTTATGGGATGACGTTGGCAGAATGCAAAATCGAAGGTGTAAGCTGTCAAAATATTACATGTCAAAATATTACTATTGTAAAAGATGATCCTTTGTAATACAATTTTATTAATAATGTGAAATGTGAATATATACAAGTGAATTGTTTGAATATGTATATAATAGTTGTAATTGATGCGCAATATTTTTTACGGCATATGTCTACTTCATTTAACATTCTGCCAATGCACGCGGATTGTCATGTAACTACTGCCACCAGTACCGTATAAGTAGCGTCACACTAAACACGGCAGACTCACACAAAGATAGAAACACCACACCTAGCACCAAGCCAAATTTTGTGATCATAATCCCAAGCTGCATTATAAAGCCCGATCTACAAAGCACGCAGAACGCGAGTCGCAAGTCGCAAGTTTGTCGCGACAGCCACTCTGATACGTCAATTTTAAAATTGACACATCAGATTGGCTGTAGATCGAGCTTAACACATCGCATTATACGCATGATATTTGATACGATATTTCTCCCCTCTTTTGTTGCAGGCCCGTCGGGGTTTGGGGAAAAATTGTGGGTTCGTTGTGTGCAATCGCCGGTGTTTTGACGATTGCTCTACCCGTTCCCGTAATTGTCTCCAATTTCAACTACTTTTATCATCGTGAGACTGACCAGGAGGAAATGCAATCACAGAATTTCAATCATGTTACTAGTTGTCCGTATCTTCCTGGCACCTTAGGTACGTCCTATTATCTTCAGGATATACAAATTGATTATTATTAAGTTTCTATCTTATTGATCAAGAATTATTTAAAAAAGATTATTTTTTTATAATGGGTGCGCTCAAAACAACAACCGCTCACTAAGCGCTCAGTGAACGGTTGTCATTCTGAGTGCATCTAATAAAAAAAGTAAATTAGTAACGAGAATTCAAGGGGTGAGCAAAAATAATCGATAAATCAATGTTTGAGTGCTTTTTTTTGTGAAAAATTGATCAAGTAGCCAGTGATTTTGGTTCTTAGTGTTTTTAAACTTAATTTTCTTTCAGTGAATCTTGAATTGTTAAACTTAAAAAAAGAAAAAAATCGATTTTCTTGATTACTTTTGAAAGTGGTAAAGCTCTAGATATATCAAAAGCGCAAAGGTCTTCCATTTTTTACTTACTATCCATACCCTATACCAATAATATAATACTAAGCGCTTATTGGACTACAGACAATTAGATCGAAATGGCAGTCGAAATAGCCAATAGGAAGATTGGCGGCATTTCAATTCAGATCAAAGAAACGCGCTACTTTGGTATATTCAAAGTTTTAGAAAACAGTTGGTGTCCTCTTACGTTTCCATCAATGTAGATTAACTTTAATCTCGGTTCAACTTACTCTTCGTCTTTTTCTAGTTCGAAAGATTAAAAACAGACGAAGAATAAGTTGAATCAAGATTAAAGTTAATCTACATTGATAGGCATTAATGAGTTGAATTAAACTATTTAAAAAATTTTGGGATTAATTAATTAACCTCGATTTTTTCAAGATATTCTCAATTATAGAAAATGTTTTTAGAAATCGGGTTTTTGATACTCGAAATCTTTTTTTTAATATTACCCATCCCTAAATCAAAGTAATTTTTATATTGTACTGTTGTACTTTAAAATATTACGCAAACGCTGTATTTATAGATATGTCAGAAAAATGATTATATTGAATTATAAATAAAATAAACTTATTTGAAAATATTATCATATTTAATTAGTTTTGTAACTTACTAAATGTATTGTACATTGTCATTTTAAGAATTGTTGAGAATAGATTAATATTCAAATAGAAATAAAAAGTGAATAGAAATTTTTAGAATAAGTATATGCCTTTCAGGTATGAAGAAGATCTCGATGTCAGAATCTTCGTCAGATATGATGGAATTAGAAGAAGGCACCTTATTCTCTCATCAGGAGATTACGAAGAAGTCAAATTGTAACCCTCGCCACAATAATAATATCAATCCAGCTTGCATGAGTATCGAGACTGATGTCTGACTACTAGGTATGCATTGTAAATTTAATATAATATCCACGTGATACTTATCGATATCGGTATTGCAATCGATATTTTTATTTCCTATCTCGGATCGATTATAGTGAAGGAGACGGTGGCAGCATGGTGGCCGTTATTGAGCCAATTGTCAAAGGGATGCATCTGCATTTCCCTGCGGTGCCTGACGTAGAGGCCTCCTTCACCCGTCATCATAGTCGTAAGCGGCTGGCATCACTCGCTAGCCTGTCCAGGTCCGTCATTGCGAGGGGCGTCTCAGGTCAAAAAATACGCGAAGGATCACTAGAATGATCCTTCGAAGAGCCGATCTGGCAGCTTTTTCCATCTGAGACGTTGAAAAAACAGAAGAGAGTGAGGTGGATCCAAGGGTGTGTGAAGAGCTAGAAATGGGGATGAATCTATAACCCGGTTTCGAGACATCATCACCTTTTCCACCTTCTCAACGAGCTTGCGCCCCGCGTAAGGACCCACGTGCGAACGAAGGGGATGGGATATTCCTCGTCCGCGTGCGAGCGTGTACGCGTGCGGCCCAACCCCCGACACCACCGACTCCAGTGTTCAAAACAAAAAAAAAATAAAGATGTAACAAATGATACCAAAGAAACATCTTGGCGTTTTCGTATAAGCGCTGTCGAGTGTCCCCCCGTCCTTACGGGCTCCTCCGCCTTTCAAAATACCAAACAGGTGAAATAAAGAAGGGGGAGCCAGTGAAGCGGAAGCAACAAATGGGGATTGTACCAGATAATACTATATTAATTATCAATATAAATTAATTGATTACCGTACATGTAGGGTGAGGGTAAGTTAACAAAGTACATTTTATGATTATCACAAATGCGAGAACGTTTAGAAAATGCTGCTTGCGGAGAAAGCGACAAGAAAGCTTGTAAAAGATGCATTAAAAATGTAGAACTGAATGATGGTGACTACAAAGACAAAGAGAAAGAGAGAGAAAGAGAGAGAGACAGAGAGAGAGAGAGAGAGAGAGAGAGAGAGGCAAAAGGAAACGAGAAAAAGAGAAAAAGATAAAGTGTGTGTACGGCGTAGACTGTTCTGTTCCTTTGTTTTTCTTTTTTTAAACAAAGGACACTAAGAAAGCCGATTTTCTAATCAATTTGCCATTGTATGATATATTATTCGACAATAGGATTTATTTTTAGTCTTACTACATTCACGCACTTGCACATGTAACATATTTAAATGCTGATAAAATAATAATGTCAACATTGGTTGATGAAGTTGAATTATTTTTTAAAAACGAAAAATAGATTTCAATTTCTGATTATTGATTATTGATGACCATAATCGGATATTTGCAGAAATAAGATATAAATAATTTTTATGACCCCAAAAAATATGTGAAAAATTACTTTAGCAATTCTGAATTACACCCCCGCTGCTTAAAATTATAAAATATGTAGAAATTGCTATATAGATTACATTTTTCACGAATTATTCATTGATATTGAAATTACAATAATTTTATATTATGGTTACGTTTAAAATTCTTAACATTTATGTAAGAAATAACTATTCGCTTATTCAAAATTATCTTCACGCTTAGATATATCTAAACAAAGAGAAATTACGTATCAGTATTAAGTGACGGGGGTGGAAATATTCGTTTGGGTAGCGAATTCCGAGATATTATACAATAGATCGAATATGAATAAAGACGGTATATATGAGCAATTGTAATGATAAGAAACGTCCAAAACAAAAATAAATAAAAACCGAAGATGTCTGCCAGTGGCGCACGAATTTTATGCCCAAATCATAATTTTAATCTCTCAAATATGCAATTTGATATTTCTGTCTTCGATATGATCGATAACGATTTCCTGAAAATCGCGGATGATTGCAGAAGCAAAACAATGATGATAATGCACAAATTTGAAACACATCTGTTAATAATTTGTATACATTATATTCTTCGTCTTAATTAAAGCTCAAAGATAAAAGAATCACTAAGTGATTTCTTATGAAAATAATTTTTAATTAAACAAGAGTATCTCTTTGATAATAAAGAATAGAAACTTGTGAAATGTTGACGAAAAACTTATATTGCTCTTATAATTTTCCTTTTCTTTTTTTATGAGTAAATTTTTTACCGAATTAATAATTCTTTGTAAAAGTAGTTTCTAATTTGTTCGAAAAAACACTATTACATTATATATTAGTTTGATGATAAAAAAAAAGAAGCTGTAATTTCGAGTTCTAAGTTAAACAATAATATAATTCATGTCAAAAAGGAAAAGGAAGATATGTGATATTGAGATAAACTATTGCCTATGGAGAACGAATTGGCATGCCAATCGATCCTCGCATCCAATCACACGGAGTATTTTCAAATCTGTTCGTCTTTTTCCGTACGACGAAAGTACGTTGCAGAATTGCCAAGACTGCCATTTCACATCTCTTGATTTACATCGCGTTAAAGAGTAATCCCAAGTACATTCTATGGAGTCAAACCGACTCGATTCGATCGATCTTCGATATGCTGATTCGATCTAAATTCCAAAGTCGACATATGGGACGTATCTTCGCTCGCATAGAGTTCAAGAACACGAAAAAGAAATCTGTAAAAGAGAAAATGCAAAGTCATTGTTCCATTTCTCAAAGTTATCAATTTTCAATTCGACTTAAAAAAAAGGATGAAATCGAACATAAACTTTTTCAGTAAAAGTGTAATTAACATATAATATCCTTTTACTGTATGTTAATTACATTTTTCATTGATTGTCATGAAAAGTTAATAGTGAAAGCTAATTAAATTTTGTCGAGGAAAAATTTTATTTAAATCATTATACTTGATTTGATATTGGAAGAGTTACTATTTGTGTTTAGAATAGAAAGATGCAAGGCATGTAATTTAAGGCTGATACATAATGAAGAGATCGAATAAAATATCGAAGCAGGAATTAAAGAACTAGCCAATAACTTAAAGAATAAAATAGTTTTCTTTATTCGTAGTAGCACTCACGAAAAAATAGTTGCTCGAATGGAACAATTTCGATCTATCATAATCATCAGTCTTTCAATATGAAAATTAATAAAATTATTAGAAGAGGCATTTAATTAGAAAATAAATGTGATTAAAAAATCAGATAATTATTAATGTTCTCCGTTTCTTAGAGCGGAATAGTCTTGCACTGTAACTGGTGAGAAAGGAATACAAGGATTTCATTGATTATGGACATATATTGATTGTTCATTAGTTATTTAAAGTATTTTTCAATGTTTGCTGATGCCAAGTTATATTGGTTGTTCTTATATTTCATTGTGTATCAGCCGTTTCAAGCAAGCAATCAATTACGTAGAAAACGACGAAGCAAGTAACCACTTCAAAAGAAAAATAACAATTAATTTGTTTTTATTAGGTAATTTTAGAAGTGGATTTAACAGATGACTGATCTCGTCTTTTAATAGACACAATGTTGATAACGAAATTTTAGTCCTCAGTATGATAGAGATTGCAAAAGAGATAAAGAACAGATATGCGTGCACGCACGTATGTGTGTGTGTGTGTGTGTGTGCGTGTGTGTGTGTTGTATGAGAGAGAGAGAGAGAGAGAGAAATAAAATAACATTACTGATACAATAATTATACGAAGATTTACGTTACATGCTTTCAATACTCAAATCTTTCGCCTCGCTGATTTAGTCTGAGAAAAAGGCATAGAAGTAATAAAAAAACAAAATGTAAAAAAATTGTATATCAAACTACCAGCCTAGTTAAAATCAAGAAAAAAAAGAGATGTAGAAAAAAGAGTAAGAGGAAGAAAATGCGTGAGGGCAAGTGATAAGAAAGTGAAAAAATGTTTCGAAATGATAAATTTATTACTACTACTATTATTCTTACTACTATCACTACTGCAACCATTACTATTATTATTACTACTACTATTACTTATCACTACTTACTATTATTAACTACTAATTATTACTACTATTACAACTACTGCTGCTATTACTATCAAACAAAAAAACATACTACGGTGAAGTATTTAGGTAACAAGAAACAATTTCGTTAGGCAGCCAGTAATCGTTAGAGTACATGAAGATAGCAGTTAGGTGGCGAACTACATCATCGTTGTTGCTGCGTCGGAATTATGAATAATATTCGTATCAAAATTTCAAGTAGGCTCCATCAAGTCAAAACAATTGTAAATAGCATGATTGAAAAAATACGAAAAGTTGTCAGATAGAGAAAATATTATAAAATGCCAGATACATTATTATTCCATTTAATTTTCATCGTCGCCTAAGAATAAACGCAAGGGTGAAGCTTTTATGACGAATTTTCAAAGATAAATAGGTTTCTTATCTGATTTTTCTTATTTCAAAAATTTCTTATTAAAGTTGCTCAAAAATTAGTTTTAAATAATAATTACATAATCTTTAATATATATTCTTTATTTGATTCATCCTTTAATAAATTAAATCTTTAAACAAATTAGATTAAAATTTTATTAAAATATAAGACAACAGTTGTATTGTTCTAAACATTTTTAATACCATAAACAAAATTATCTATTCATCAAGAAATTATATGGAGATATTGGAATTGGATTTAGTTAATAATTTTGAAATTGTTTTCGGTTTTTAAATCTAAAAATCGTCATACTAAAGCGAATCCTTGAAAATCCATTGAACTTCCATTATGCCATATATTTTAATTATTCAAACAAAGAAAGAAGAAAGAAAACTAACAAAATATGTCGCGACAGCGTAAGTTTCATTTTGTGCACTGTGGAAATGGCTTTTTCAAATAGCACAGAATGAGTGAGTGGAAGTAATCGCCGATCTTTTTATAAAATTAAGTTACTTGTATTCTGTTTCGGAGGAAGAGGGATATTTTTTTAATGATCTTTTTCATAGTTTTGTAAGAATTGATGAAGCGATTGTTAATTATCAAAAAGCGTCTCCTTCACCAATGATCCAAGAAAAAAAGAAAAAGGACAAAAAGCATGAATGAACGCGTAAATATAAAGAAGCAAAAGAAAGAAAGAATGTATTGTGTGCATGAGAATGAGTGAGAGGAAGAAAAAATTATTATTGGTAATGAATTATGCGAGTCGAAGATGCATTCCGAAATAACTAGATAAAAATTAAAAAAAGAAAAGAACTAGTCTTACTACGAAGCTAAAATTATATTTCGCTGTCGCTATAGAATGAAATGATTTATCGCTACTAATTAATTAAATATGAGAAAGAGAAACGAAGAGGAGATAATCGGCGCACCGTCGAATTCTTGAGTAACAAAAAGATTAACTAATAGTACTAATAGTAATAATAAAATAACACATATATCAGACTGGGCAAGGTATTACGAATATTATTATTTCATGAAGATAAAGCAAATAAATTAAAAGCAGATTAGAGTGCCGGCATCACTCTCGAGCATCCCTCGCCCTTTCTGGATCCTTTTTGGATTGTCACGATGGATCCTTCCTTGCTCGATCTTACGCGATCAATACTATCGAACTAAAATAGCAATAAATTGCTAAAATTAATTATATGATATTACATAAAAGTAATAATAACGAATGCAGATTGTATTACATAAGATCGATGTGCGATCAGGTAGGATCAATTGTCATAAATCCTTGCGCATTTAAAAAGGATAAGAATATTATGGCGTGAAAGATGCTCGTATGCTGCTCATGTAAAAAGAAGAACATAAAAGAAGAATATATTAAAAAAATTGAAGAGTTGATGAAAATGAGAAATAAGAAGCAAGTGCGAGCGCTCGTAGATCGAGACGTTTTCAAGTGATATATTTAGGTATTATATGGGTCAAACATATTAAAGACGCTGAAAAACAATGTAGTATAAAAACTAAAGCGAATGTTTGTTATCTCTCGGATAACGTTTTCGATGATTGATTTATGCCGCGATGAGTATTATGTGTAAATGCATGTAGATATATCATATACAGGGCAAATCGTAAAGCGCGAAAATCAGTAGCAAAATTGTATTCTTCGATGAATATGTGTACAGTTCGATTTATTCACAAATTTTTTTTAAATCACTACAGTTTTTATAATCAAGTGAATAAGTTTGCTAAGTATTGCATTAAATTTTTTCTATTCTAGATTCATTTTCGCTAAAATATCTTTAATTATTTGATAGTTTCATAATCAGATTTTCGTATCAATTATCTTTAAAAAAAAGTT